TCCGGACGCCACTGCACATATGTTTTGACACGATGCCCAACCTCTGATTGTAGGTCGGTGTTAAGGTGTACTACGAACTTATCTTTTGGTAGGTGGGAGCATAGCGAGCAAGTGAGAAAGAGCATAAGAAACGCATGGACATCACAAATGTATCATGCAGGCCTATTTGGTTGTATTGGGGATTGCGTCAAACCCGATACCGGTTGACTCTCACACTATCGCGCAATATCCCCTCCGTCCGTCACGAAGAATAGGCCATCACATAATAAGGGTTTGGCCTCGATTTCGTGCCCGGTCACCGCCCAGCCAGACGGCAAGGTGACACTGTCTCCACCGCGGATCGAAACCCTCGCAAGGGTTTGGTCCATCTCACATAGGTATACGGTTTATAAGCGGGAAGCAGTGCTCGATAGTGTGCGCGGCAACGTACAGCGTCCACCGGTATCAGGTTTGACGCAATCCGCAGTACGTACGGCAAAACCGAAATCAGAGACCATCAACATTACATATGGCATGCAGTTTCCAAGCTAGTGCGTGCCCTATTTGATTGGCCAGAAACTCTGTCGCGACAGACCATCTCGGTGCTAGATCATGTCGGCACCACAGCATGTCACTTGCATCACTCTTGTGAGATGTGACTGCGCCGCGTCCAGCGCGATCACGACACGTCAGAACGGTTCATGAGTGTGAATGAGTCACTGAAATACAACCACGCCCTCATGGCATGGAGGGAAACTTCTTACTGGCCATCGTACCGTAGCTCTCAAGGATTTACAATGAAGTCGCCCTTACAAAGCCTAAGATTGAACAGAAGAAAGAATGCCCTGCTTGCATTCTTTCCCCAACTCACCAGTGCCCTCAACCAACACTACTACGCGATTACTGAGACAATTATTACAACCAATTATTGTCTCCTCATCTAGTTACGACACGAATCGGATGCGACACAATCGGGCGTGACAACTCGTACTATTTTTCGAAACACAAGGTATAAGATTATCCAGCTACGCTCATGCATGCCGGCTGGACAATGAGTGCAGCTCTATGACGAGCGGTATATGCCAGACGCATTGAGTGACGGCAAAACGATAGTATGCCACAAGGCAATACCGAACTACAAAAAGGAAAGAAGGAAGAATCTTCACTCGGCTGAATCTTGAAGGTAAGAGAACCTTGTAGGTTACATGTCGTCCTAGTTTTATTCAATGCAGTCAAACTCCCGCAACTCTTGGATGCAAAACATTGTGCCGACACGAGAAGCTTGTTCCCCTGCGCACTTTGCACAAGGATCGACAATACGAAGTCTTCGGAACCGACTATGCCCCATTCTAGAGCAAGATTGAAAAACTCTTCCAAACACAAAGGACCGTCAACTCGTGTTTCCGCCCATGCTGGTCATCATGTAAGCGACTGTGGCAACGAATGCCGCCAGCGCAACGGTGCCCGCCAGCTGTTTTGGCTTGGGGCCGGTTTCTACCCCAGCGTATACTTGCAGCATTCTCAGGCCTTGCGGGTGCGTCACAAGGTGCTCGATCAGGCGGTAACGCAGACCGTTCGACCCTTTGACGAACATCATGAAGGCGAATCCCAGGAGGTCGACCGAAGAAAGGCTGGACGACAAGAAGCCTTTCCAGAGCCTGCAGGAAGGGGAGAATGCAATCTGAATCCGGACTTCAAGTTCACCTTCATGTGCTTCTTTCCAGATTCTTTGGATCGAAGTTGCGAGAAACATTCGTTGCATGCGTTTCGCTCTTCCGGCGGAACGAAGGATTGCTTTATGTCAGAAATGGTGGCTGGAAAGCCGTGCCTGTTACCTGCAAATGTATGAGCTGCTCTTCAGGCTCGATTGATGCACGAGCCGAAAAGCCCAGCAGTTTGCTGATCTTGCCATTTGAGTTTGCAGTAGGTTTTGCGAGAAGCATTTCCGTGATGCCCCTCCTATTTCTGAAGCGAAACTTCGAAAATCGAAACAGGTCCGCTGTGAGCGAGGTATTTCGACTCTAGTCTCTTTGCTACATCGCTTCCGTAGGGAGGGCTCGGGAGCTGTTGGTATCAAGGATCCATTGTACCGCCAAAGCGCCCAGTCGTGGCTTCAGCTTGCAAGTACTGGAAACGTTTTAACCATCTTGTGATATGTGAAGCGACGTAAAGACGAACCTACAGCGATATCTCCCACCTACGGGACTCGAACTTGCAGCGAAGCCCAGGGACGCTTGAAACCGTGCAATCGTAGCACTGAGTGAGCGCATCAAGCTCACGTTCTTCCAAAATGTCCGTCTGACGAAATCCAAGAACGGTGACATTGAACGACGTTCCTCTTCCAGCGGGTGCTAGCGGATCTCCTGAGCCCCAAGACGTCTCATTATTGGTTTGGGGTCGAGATTCAACCAAAGCATACGCCAGCACGGGAACTCAAGAATGCACTTACGGCTCGGGCAGTCGGAAGAAGGTATCAAAAAACTCGCGCGTGCCGTCCAAGTCCTGCCTCAGGATCAACTCGAGACCAAACACATTGAACGCGGACTGGCGCTTGCGCTCGCGGGACCACAAACCATCCCAGGCTGCGGACGAAGAGAGGAGAAAATACAGTGTCAGAATTGATCGAATCAGGGCGACTGGCAGCGCGTGTTAACAGACGTTCACGAGCTTCGCTCCGGCGACTAAGCTCGCTAGGAGACGAAGGACACTTTCTATAAAGCCACCGGAAGAACTGGTGCACAGTTGCTGTTGTTTCAGATCCGATGTCTTTGCGGCCTGCCCGAGTCAAAGGAAAAGCAAGATTCAAGCGTACGGGTGGCGCATCGTTGTGCAATGGGTGATTGCGTAAAAAACATTTTCCAAGTGGCCCAAAGCTGATACGGGCCTCCACAAAAATAGCCTAGCCGCCAGCTTGACAAATTACATCAATTGGTCCACACGGCTTGTCTTGCGCTGTGACTCCTTCTGAAAACCTCAGTCAATTCACAAGAGGCTGCACGAGCGAACAGCACGAAGGATGACGTCAGCAACCGCGATGACTTACCGGCGCATGCGGCTTCCTTCATGCTGCGGCCGCTCCCGGAGGCACTTCCAGTTGACGCCTCAAGGGCAGTAGCAATCTGAGCGGCGAAGAGGGGTGCTTCCGTCAGCGAACGCGCCAGCGAATAACCTGCGATGAAAAACGTATCGTTACACCACCGATCCAAGTGACAGATGCTGACATCACCTCAAACAAGGATACCAGTATCTGACGCAAAGTGGGTTGCTTTCGTGAGTGAAAGCGCCGGCAAATTTCCTGCCAAGAGAGACGTATCGTCCACAACCCCGATTTTAAGGCAGATTCATAACCTTTTCTCCGAGCGAGATTACTGGGGTTTAATGCAAAGCGGGGTTCCTCGGTCATCAACCGTGCCAGTGAATCTTTGCAAACACACTAAAAGTGTTCTTCTGCCAGACTGCACAGAAGGCGAACAACGTGGGCTGTTGCCACAAGAAACAAAAGGTGCCCTCCGTGAGTCTTTGTGCAGACTAATTAATGGCAATCCGCGACAGTGAGGGCGAAGAGGATCGCCTCAAATGAAGATCGCGGCAGCAAAAATGCGGTATGAGAAACGACCGCTACACATTTCAACGTTGCTTCCACGAACATTAAACCTCACGGACTTGAACCAATGCTAGAAAGATCAATCATGTGAAACAGTATGCTTAACAACTTGACAATGACCGTTTGAAACGATAGAATTATTCGAAAACAAAGAGCAAATGGTGGAAAGGAAATTCCGATGGCGCGCTGACCAGTTGCCGGGTGGACCATGTTGGCAGCTGCTCCAAACGCGAGGTGGGGCTGTGTCGTGACTGGCAGGGCGCCCCCGACGGGAATGTACGACCACTCCTGCAGTCCGGAAGAACGCGATCAGAAAGGAGCTTCTTTTTGGTACAATCACTGCGTTTATTTTATACCAGAGCTTTGAGAATCCCATTGCCGCATGAAAATCCGAGGACGGTGAACAGAACACGTCGGTGCAATTGAAGCAAAGATGGCTGTGCTATCGTATTGACTTTCAGGAGACCAGGAGACGGGTCGCAAACCCATTGATGCTGAGCTGCGCACTCGTGTCTACAGGCCGTTCGTTCGTGGGACTGTCATTGCGGATGTTATCTTTTTGAAGCTTGGGATAACTGCCCAGTACCTCGTCCAGTGTCTGCTATTCTTGCGCACCTCTTCAAAGACAACGGATTGCTGAACCCTTGCACCAAGAGGGATGTCACCTGAGCATCCTCTACCCTTCTCTTCCCCACAGACCGCACATAGGCAAAAATGCTTCGCCACAGCAGAGCAGGTGAGACGACAAGCATCGAAGGGCGCAGCGAAGCATCGCGTTTGGTTCGCGTTTGACCGAATCGCCGATTGTTCCGTTCCGCCGTCTGAATTAAGTGACGAAGACGGAAAAGCGCCCACCTCCTCGTGCATGGTCTTGACTTCGAGGTTGAGCGTCTTGAGCCTGATGTACAGCCGGCGCTTGAGCTCGTCGAACGACATGGCCGGGCGCGCAGCAAGGGACGTCTCCTGCAAGGTTTGAAACGGCCTGTCATCACGGCACTCATCTATTCCGTACGCCCCGTGTTTCTTCGGCTTATATTAGGCCTACAGAATTGCAAATCCGTCCTCATACTTTAGTCCTGGTCTGATCTGTTTCTTCGTATTTGTCGTTCAGCGCAGTTTCCGCTTGAGAGGTTTTGTACCTTTTCGGTTTTGCCAGTTTAAGGAAAGCTCACGCAGTCTTATGGCAACGGTTAGGTTCAAGTCACCCTGCACATTGGCCCTGGCGAAAGGAACATGTGGAACTCTGAAGTTACTCAAGACATACAGCCTCGCAAACCTAGTTAGTTGCATATACGATTTCCTGATCCGCAAACTGCTGCACTCGACCCCTTCAGCAACACATACCAGAGCGAAAGAGCGGAAAGCAAGGCAGATGAGCGGAAAGCTTCCAGAAGTAAACAGACTCTCAACTTACCTCGAAAAAGATACGAGTGGGCGTTATCGGCATAGCATACAAAAAGGTCGGACGCTGATCCTCCTCCAGGTCGTCCAGGTTAGCATGCCCAGCGCCAGCCCCCCGATAATCCCGGAAGTCCATAAAGTGCATGACGGTCGGGTCGAACGGGTAGTTGTCGATCTGCACAGAAGGCGAGAAGGGTTGCTGAAATGCTCCACAGACTTGTTTGGGCCCTCAAATGAAAAAGATCCGGACCGTTCAGTGGGAACCATTGCACGGCAGTGCTTTTGCGAAAGTGAGTGAAAAAGAAAGCACATTCTGCATAGAAGGCGAGAAGTGTTGCTAAGAGTTCCACAGACGTGGGTGGGGCAGACGGGTAGTTGTCGATCTGCATAGAAGGCGAGTAATGTCATTGAAGAGTTCGACCGTCTTGTCCCTGGGATTCATTTGCTTGTTGACGTGCAGTTCATAAATGCAAGGCTTGTGATTGCGACCGAACGGTTCAGATTGTGGACACTGAGCTTTGACCTTCGCTCCAAATGGACAAGCTTGGCAGTAGTCTTGGTACGATCGACTGAATGCTTGTCTCTGGAAGCGAGGTCGTTTGTTGCGTACAGACAAAAGCCAGGCTTGTCCAAACCTAACATGGAGGAAGCACGTTTCGCTGAATGGAGGCTGTTTGTCCAAAGAAAACCTTGCAAGGTCTGCGTAGGCGTTCTTCTCGTTGCGTTTGCATAGAGTTGGCGCAGTAAGCTTTCCTTCGAAGAACTCTCGATTTAGCATAGGTCAGACCTTCTGTGTCGTTCGAGAAAGCGCCAGAATTCAATTGGCCGTTCTCTTTTTGATACGGGGCGACTAACATAAACGAAGGGTTCCGCGGAGGTGCCAACCAATGTAACGTATCCTTTTTTGCCTCCCGGATCTGTGCATGGCAGGTTTCGAAAAATATCCGTAAAGAGGCCTTACCTCGACTTCGATCCCGTATGCTGTTTGCACGCTGACGCCCGGCCCCCCCTTCTCGTACTCGATCAGTTGCCCCGAGGCCGCCCCAGAGGCCACTGTCACCAGCTTCGACTGGACGCTCTGCCCGTTTCTGCGGGATCGAAATGTTTTGAGGCTTCGTCAATACGTGGGTTTGCTGTGAACCTATTTCAACCCACTTCATGAAGACTGGTCGAGTCTTTGTGCCGTATTGGTCTGAAGGTGAGTAGCTCATCTGCTATGTAAGGCTGGTCTGAATTCCCGGTGTGTTAATTACATTTTGACCAGCTCTTTCGTAAATTAATTGCAAGAATTTTAGGACGAACAGGATAGACAAGGCGGATGTTCCGTATGGACTTCGTGGGGTCAACTTATTAGCAGCAATGTTTGAACACTGATGCACATCGTTCAGTAGTAAGGGATGACAGAAACCAGATGGCGACTATTTCAAAGAAGCGTCTGCTCCCTTCGAGCTATACCGACTTCTTCTCAGCTGCAAGGACCATGTTTCCCGCGTCTCGTTCTTGAAGAAGGCTTTACATACATCATTCCGCGACCACAGAAGCTAGGACAGACCTGCCCTGCCTTGACCAACCAGACACAAGCTTACAAGAGCCATCACACCTTTCAATCGATTCCATATCGTTTTCTTACCTGCAGCGCACAGTGCTCCCGGTTGCTCCATCGTCGATCCCCCTCACGGATGAGTCCATGTACAGGACTCCCGCCTTTGCACACCGCTCGAGGAGCTCTGCTCGGAGGAGCTCCCGAGAGACCCGGCCGTACCCGCGCCCAACTAGGATGGGAGAGTCTGAGTCGAGGTACAGGGCAGTGTCTTGCCAAATGACGTCGAGGCAGTGACGCAACCCGATAGCTGCCAGCGACAGGAGGAACGTTTGAGCAAGCAGGGGCGCATAGAGGTATTGAAGATTGCTCGAGAAGAGGCCCAGAAACAAGGGACGAAAAAGCGGATTCGTTTGTTGCTGTTGTTTTGAACACTAACCTCCTCAGAGATGTAAGTCGGTGGCGATTTTTAAGGACATGAAGCTGGCCAAGCAGAAGAAACTTGGATGCATCGCTGGGAACGTCCAAGATGCAGGCATGCTTCTGGTATAGGTCTTAATAACATGAGGAAGGTCTCAAGTCAGAAGATCTCCAGGAATGACAACACGAGCTGCTCTGAGCTCTCAGTACTGCGTGATAGTATGCTTCATCTTGACAAGAGTTCTTTGTCGTCTCAAGGAGGGGTTGACTGAAGAAGATTTAAGAGTCAAGTTGGAGTCAGCAAATGAACGTCTGGACATACAAGGGACAAAGGTCTGAAAAACCATCTTTCACTCCAGCGACCCTGTGTGACAGTGAAAAGGGATGAATGACGACAATCAGAAAGCATTCCAGAGGGAGTTCTTCGCAAAGAGGCTGTTGATTGAACATACATCGACAACACACCACGCTCGGGGGCGAAGTTGGTGAAACTATCAGCAGCATCACATTGTCCATTTAACATGGACAAGAAGGATGACTTCCTTGAAGAGGAGATTGGTTGAATCTGGGGCCAGGATGAGCTTCGGGGATGGGCTGTGATACTCACAAACCTCACAGCGGTTAAAAGTGGTTGACTCACCCTCAAACTCGTCCACCCAGACACCATAGTTGTTTACGAAGGGCACGTCAGGGCCAATGAGTCCAACTGACAGCCCTTTCTTTGCTGTCTCCGCCGCTAGCACCATTCCGGCTGGCCCGCATCCCACCACTATCAGGTCTAAGTTGCATTCCCCAGGGATCAAGGCAGCAAGCTGCAATAGCAAAAAAGCACATCTGACTTTTGAGCGAGCAGTATGTTAGTTGGAGTTCACCGGATTGCCTGTTAGGGATCTTCAGAGACTGAAGCAACTAGCTGAATTGAATGTTGAAAGTCAATTTGACCACTTTGGAGTTGAGGCGTAACTCTGAGTTTCACAGCTATAAAGTTGTACAAGCAGAATCTCCAGAAGTACAAACCTACCAACGTTGCATTGGCAGCAGAGGGGACACTCAGACACTGCATTCCGGAACAGGTGTGTTTGCAAAAGTAGAGAGTCTCTGTAGCTATTGTACGGAGCTGTATCCGTCTTACATTGGGAATCTGCTGTACACAGCTTGAGATTATGAATCTGAATCTTGGAGACCCTTGTGCTGGCTTGCATTTATCTAAAAGAGGGAAACAACCAAATCATGGGTTTCGCACGGCGGCCCCCACCGAAAGCTGGATTGTACGACCAATGGGATAGTGACACATTCTCTGACTGCCGTGCAAGGCAGGCTACCTACCGTGTCTGCAAGTTTCGGCTGGTCCAGCGATTTGGCTGCTTGTTTAGCCACCAAGTCTGCGTCTGGTCCCCCTCTCCTGACATACTCTTGTCCCTCAGGCACCTCAATCTCCGGAGCAATGATTGTACTGGCTTGCATTGTATGACGACGTGATTTGCCATTGCTTTTCTGCCTCCGTCCTGTTCCAAATTCTCCTGCTACACATTCAAAAACAGAGGCTTCTGCTTGCTTTCCTGGCAGTGCACCCGAATGCGGGGCAAGCTGCCTTTTGAGGCAGCCACCTTTGCGCACATTCCTTGAAAGGCCTGTCTTTTGAGCAAATCCTTGAGAAGACTGCTCAGTGGTTGAAAAGAGTCCGCTGGAGGACAATGCAGGCAAGCTTTTAATACTCGCAGCGCCTGCCCCGGACATGGTTGCTTAGAAGCCCCTGGATTGTGCTCACTTGAAGTTGCAGCAAGGGATAGTGACTTTACACATAGGTCGAGCGGACAAACGCAAACCGGGGCACATAATGTTACCTCAAGAAATGCTTCTTTGAACTTCTGACACTACGCCATTCCGCTGATCTGGAAACTGGAAGCCCACATTGAACAGGTGTACACCTAAAATGGCGCGAGAAGCACCTGTAATCGGCTCATGAATGCGAACGTTGTTTGCAGGCGGAGTGTGCTGGTGTGCAGCAATAAGCATGCCAAGGAGCCAACCGGAACCACGGTCCAAGTATCTGCCATCTCCGGCCTGGTACCGAGGACGTACACGTGGCAGACAACCGCACGCTGATTGGTTGCTATGTTCGACGAAATCCTGCCTTCTAATGCTTAACCCAGATCCAAATCCAGCGAGGCTTCTGCTGCTGCCACATGTCAGATAGCTAGCAAATATGCATTTGATGTTGACCTGCCTGCCCACTGTGCCCATTGTCTGCACGCCATGGCGGAGTCCGAACAAGGGTTAGCTTTTACTGTTCGCCCGTTGCATGATACACGAGGTCTGTTGAATTTGATGGGCATAGCATTGACCTTTGGCACATGACCGGTATCAGCAATACCCAATGATGCAACTTGACGTCGTTAGAGAGCTGCAAATTAGCTCAATGAGATAATCTACAACAATCTGCCTTCACAGTTGTATGCATTGTGCCGTGTTTACTGTAGCTAGAACATCCGAAGCAACATGCTATATACAAAGGTTGCGCGTCAGAGATTTTCTTTCAGGACAGAGAGTGTACCAAAGGCCATCCACCCATGCTTCATATTTGCATGTCAGAGGCGGACGGGTAAACGAGCAATTGCAGCCTTCTTCTGCAAGCTCGCTGAAAAACGCCTGGCACTGCTTTCGAAGGTATGTCTGAACTTTTTCTCCCTAAAGTGACGAGGCCGACAACACAAGGTCATCTCGTAACCCGACGAATGGAGTCGTGTCATTATCCAGGCCTCGGTACTTGACAAGTCCGGAAGGGACGAGGTCCGCATCCAGAAGAGAAGGGACCTTCGACCCGGGAGCATTGGGAACCGCAGGGATGATCGGATTCTTGGTCGGATATGAGTAGACGAGGTGGAAGGTCTGAGCGGGATTCTTCAAGGCCTCCGCAACAAACTGCACAATGCAGAACGAACATCAATTTCTGTAATCAGAACCTTCAAGAAGGTAATAGAGAAGAGCAAGGCTATGACATTCCTGCAATCCATCTTTGGTGTACCAGTCGAAGCGGACAAGACTGTCGCAATAGACAGCGGACTCAGAAACGACTGCAAAATAATCAAGCCGCAGCGGTGAGCAGGGGTCTCCTACCGACACCACCTTTCTCGAACGTCATAAGCACCCGAGCCGACGTCGGTTGCCGGCACGGCAGTGCGACCAACAAAGAATCAATCCGCGCCACTCACCTCATAGATCGCAGTCGTGGCCTCCATCGGTGAGAACACGCCCTGCAGCACCATGCCGTCTGGGAACTGGACCCGGATCATCGCGGCCTTGAAATTCTCCCGCGCTTGTTGCGCTTGCTTCTCGCGGAACGACTTCGGTATGAGCAGCTGCGAGTTCTCCAGAGCTTTCTTGCGCGCCGCGGCTTCCGCACGGACTTCGGACGGGCTCAGCTTGTAGAAGGTGTCCGGCACCTCGATGCGGGCGGCTGTGTTCTCCGAGGCGGGGAGGAAAACCTTCAACTGCATGGAAAGGGACAGATATGCATGTCTAAAACCACACGCCGAGTAAGCTGCAACGGATTTTTGCCTCGAAGCATTTGTAAAGTGCACAGAAGCAGGGTTGTGACTCTTTGACTTCTGTTCCTGAACGGTGAACACAAAGTTCGGTCATTAAACTTGTGTCGATGAAAATCTACTTTTGGAACAGGCCAACCGGATTTTGCCACAGGACTCGTCCAATCACAGACAAAAGGAGATTGGATAGAGCTTGAAGCGAATGTCAAGCATGTCCATCACTCTGATATCCGCACAACCGGTCCAGCAACCACGACTACAAGAGAGTATCGACCTGAAGGCGATTGATGCTGGTTGGCGTTGTTCATGATTTTCCATACCGTATTACGCTTTGTTTGTTTCAAAGAGCAAGCCGAAAGCGAACAGAGGTTTTGGACCAATCTCGGTGCAAGGGAATGCCCTTGTTCTCAAACAATTTCGTAAAAGGAAGATCCCACAGTGGTCGGTTGCATGTAAGGCCGAGACAACGTCTCCAGGTCGGCAGAGAACGGTTTCATCAGATAAAGTGGTCCAAGAAGAGGAACCCCTTGTTGCAGTGAGGATGCTAGCAAGTCCGGTTCTCACCTGCCGATCCAGCGGTTTCACAACTTCCGGCTCTTGTTTACGCTGGGCTCGTTCCTGCTCCGCTCTCAGCCTCTCCTGCTCCAGAACCTCCGGCTTCTTAACCAGACTTCCTGGTGTAATCCGGATTGGTTGGCTTGCTAACCCCCGGTCCAACAAGTCCAACCCCGACTTAACCCCTTCCAGCACCTCAGGCGACGCACTCCCCAGAACCGCCCACGGCTCCTTCTTCCCATCCGCATCCTCTTCTTCTCGAATCTCAAACCCGACTGCCTGCAGTAGATCAATCCCGCCGGGCGCCTTTCCGACCGTCTCCGCAATCTTGGGGTTACTTAACCGCACTCTCCGGAACTTCTCATTCGACGGGTTTGCGACGATGTTCCCCAGCAGCCGGGAGAGGATCTCCGTCGCCGGACGTGACGAGGGGTCTGACACTAGCAGTCCGACCGCAGTATGAAGCTCGTCAGCCCCTGCCTGTGCGTCAATGTCCATGGCATTCCCGCTCGTGCTGCTCTCTTCTCCCGGGCCCGCCCTTGCCTCCAGCGCACGTCCTGACCCCATGAACGGCTTGAACGGGTCAAAGTCAGTTGGAGGGGCTTCCTTTTTGCTGGTGGTAGTACTGGAGGGTTGCGGGGACTTATTTGTTGGGCTCGGAAGACCTGACTCTGACCGGGGACTCTGAGCGGGGAGTTTGGGAGAAGAGCTTGTCGGACTGGGGGCGGGGGGAATTTGAGCTCTGGCTTGGGTTGACGGGCCTGGTTGTGACTGAGGGTCCTGCAAAGCACACAGAGACCGCGTAAGAAGAGGCTCTCAGCAGGGGGTTGGTGAATGACCCTATTTCCTCATCAGCAACCTTTTGGTGAATCAGCTCTCAAAATGAGTATCTTGCTTAGCAGAATGGTTCAGGAAAATGCTAAAAGAACGGCGGGCATAACATCCAGACAAACTTCCTTGGAGTTAAGGATGGCGGCACATGACTCGGCTGGGATAGAAGACGGATCATACTGCTAAGATTGTTCATCATCGCATCAATTACCTGGGACAGCGTTGGGCCTGCACCATTGTCTTGAGCCCATCTCTGGCGTTGAAGTTCACGGCGCTCTTGCTCCTGGCGCTTGAGAAGCTCCTCCTGAATGCAACAGGCAAAACGAATCGAGATGTGATAACCTTTTAGACGCCCTTCATCTGCTTAAAAAAGAAACAGAAGATCAATTCAAGTGTGGCGGTTCTCTGGGATGCCGAATGCAACCAGCGGACAGCCTCAGAAGCAACATTGGCATCTGCACTGCGTTCACTGTACGGGCCAACCCTTGAGAGCAGACATTGAAGGCAAACCTCTCAGGGCGTAACTTTCTCAGAAATGTAGGCATAAGAAATCATACTAGTTATAAGGTGAACCAAGCCTTGAGACAAGACCTACTCTCACATGATTCTATTCAGGTAGAAACTTCCATACAACCTTTTGGGATGAAGCAACGACCACAAGCAAGTTATGGAATACACCACTTCTTTGACAAGAGGGCTGCAAAAAGACCCTAAGCGCCATCAACAACCCCATTAAAGAATGATGACAAGATGGATACATGATCCAAATACAAAACTCGCATTGCTTGCATCGTCAAACCGTGCAGATTGTGCAGAAGAATTTTGCACTCACCTGTTGCAACCTCTGGTTCAAAAGATTCCTTGCTGCAGCGGGGCCGGTGCGAGGCACTCCTCCTGGCGCTTTTGGCTTGGCAGCCTCCCCGTCGTCATCACCCCCCCCCAGCTTCTGACCCTGCCCCTTGAACTTTGTCTTGAACGGGTTGCTAAGACTCTTCAGCTTCTTTCCAAGATCGTCCATACTGGACAATTGTGCAACACCAACAGTGAAGCAAGCAGCCGAAGTGCAATGCCACCTTTTGTCTTATATTTGAAGATACCAAACAAACTTGAAAGCACTGGCACCCGACGCCAGCAATGACACGTCGCTGCTGAATAGCTGGAGCTTTTAGGTCGAAGTCAGCTTTCGCACATTCTTCCTTCCCTTCTAATGCGTCACAAACGTCCAGTATCTATGTCTCTAAAAGTCCACTAAGCGAAGGGCGACCAAAGAGACCAAAGGCGAAGCTACTAGTATATTTAGCTACATACTCACACAGTACACTTGATAGCTAGGATAGGATTGGAGAATGCCGAGCTCAGAATCAGATGAAGATTTCTTCCTTCCTTGGAAGCATTCAACGAAGCTAGTTCTTGAGGCCTCGTCATGGTGAACGTGCTCTTCCGCTCCGTAGCGACACCGGAGACTCATGTCGAGGAGAAGCGAGAACAGGGCCTTGCAAAAGTAGCGAAACCCTAAAATTGGATCTCCTCCAAAATACCTCTCTACGTAGCCTCAACTTCAGTCTTCACATTGGGGCAGCTCTCAGGATTCTCAGAGCAATGAGCTGTGCTCAGCTGTGCGCAGCCGTAGCCTTAGGCGAGGGGTGGCGTTCTTACAATGCATATGCTGGGCGATCAGGGCTTTGAGCCTCCTCCCTGATCCTAGTGGTCGATGATGGATGCAGTGGACACACTTTGCTTTGTTGATGACTCGAGTACGGGGGAGAGCTGTCCGCAACTGTGGAAAGGAATCTAGCAGCTGTGAAGAAACCCTGGCTCTTGCAATGTGGACAATAGCTCACCTTTTGTAAACCCCTCCTATGTAAGAGTACCCCTGTCCTGGTGGTTTGATCAGATCAAAGAGGTACCAGTGGCCATCTGATAGCCACCTTGGCAAAAGATGGAGCGGAACTCTGCAACCACGGAAGAGACCGCCATTTTCACGGCAATTGAGGAGGAGATTCCCTGGGAGAAACTATCAAAAAGGTTGAAGGTTTTCATCGGTGGACAAAATGAGTGGAATGCAAGGTGAGCTTCATCAAGTGCGTTTGATCAGTGACAAGAAAGCCACAGACCAATTGACTGACCATGCCCCACAGGGTCTTTGACTGTTGATTTGCCAGTCTGCTTCTGAGTCTTGCAAATTTTTTGTTTCAGAATTGAAGCACTTCTCTGACCACCTGTCCTCGTCTGGCAGGATCAAAGACTACTGCATACGGAAGCGGTACAGATGGTCAGAGTGCCACGCAAAGTCCGCCTGCAAGGAGATGGAATACTATGAGGACCTCATCCGATACACACGGAAGAGTCTGGCGGTGAGATGCTTGAAGCAGGAGTTGCATTTCATGCGCAAATCAGTCCCCTGTATCTTCAGTTTTAGCAGACTCAGCACAATTTCAGGATACCTGCCTGGTGGTGGAACCTTGATTCGGAACAAGAAGCAAGCATGTCTGTTGGAGTGGTGGATTTGTTCGAAGTTTGAACCAAGAGTAATTCTTTGAGGCATTGAGCCTACGTTGCCAGGAACAAATGTATTGATTTGGCTTGCATGATCAAGGGACGAATGTCACAACTGACTTTTCATTGTTCACTGCTGCAGCTGTTCCCGTACCACCTCGCTGATGTTATCTGCCGGATTCTACGGGTCACGCCATTTAGATATTACTGTGACGTGCTCTTTGAAGTTTTGAGGAGTGGTAAGTATCTGGCCGCTTAAGATTGATAGGCTCCACCCTTCAGTTGCTGAGAAATGTCGAATGCAGCTGAAGGAGTTGGTTGATCCAGCAACCTTAGAGGTCCTGTGGTCTGAAACGTAGCTGTCTAAGCTGGAAAGGAGCTTGCAGTGACAGACTGTCAAGTTCTGAAACCCGTTTCTTTTCGATTGCATCGCAGAGAAGTCCTACGACAGCATTCCAAACTTTGCGGCAGCGGATGCTCTGAGGACCACGGGCATAGGCCGCAATGAGTTTATAGACATCATGAACAAGTGCCGGGGCAAGGTGAGAGTAGCATTACAAGCTTTGTACTTGGTAAATACCAGGACAGCTTCTGAATCATCCGTAGGAACAAAGAAGGATCTGGCTGTCTTCAACGAGGAATCAGAAAGTGTGCATGGCGGGGCATACTTCCTGACCGTGTCTTCTCCACGGTACCTCAACTATCAGGAGTCTCAAACTGCCGCACACATTCTGAGGATAAAAATGGAACAGACTCCGTAATGTCACAATCGATGTGTGGTCGTTAATAAGAAGCCTTTTAAGGAGCGTTCGAAGTGCTTTGAGAAACTTTCAAACGTCCAGAGTTGGACAAACCGCACACCCCTGTTTTTGATTTCGGCTAGGTCGCTCTCATTTCAGGGGCAGTCACCAATGCTGATCTCTCTAGAAAGCTTGTGCAGAAGTTGATGTGGAAGCTGAACAAGGCGATTGCTAAGGAGTATCTTCCCGAGCAACCGCGGGACTTTGAGGTGCAGCCATGGTGGCTCGTCTCGGTGGTCAATCTGTCCCTGGAAGAGTACAGGGTAAGGCGTCCGTTTTTGGATGTCTCTCGACATGCCTCGTTTCATGTGATTGTCACAGAAGTCGAACTAGATTCGGTGAAAGCAACTAGGACAAACTTGCGTTGTTAAGCTGTCACTGTTTTTCCATCACACAGTGCGCGCCTTTGTTGGTGACTCGAAGCTGCCTGCTTTGAGTGAAGCAGCATCTCCCGCAAAGCCCTAATCAGCTCATCTCCCTCGGTATCCTCTTCGAAGATGTTCGTCGCAAAAGGCTTTCGTCTCCATCAGAAGCATTTGCCGTCCCAACCAGGGAAAGCTGCAATCTCGTGCAGACCGGTCGCACGTGGCAAGCGTTTCCTGCCTATGCAATCACTCCCTTCTTTCTATCTATTTAAAAGACCTCTCTCCGCAACATTTCTCTCGGGCAGTTGTCTGAGTTTGTTTCCATTCCTCTGTTTGCTGACGTCATTGTCCTCACTCATATCCAGAAGCTGACGCCTGATGAGGTCACTCTGGTGGACCGCATTGCCAAGGAGCACAACAATATGGCGGCAGAAGTTGACCTGGAGCTTGTGCGGTCGTTGACTAGAAGGGGCCTTGTCTACTTTGATGTGCCAGTCTACAGCGACGACCGATTCTCAAGTGCGTCTCCTCTGAGCTCCGTCAACCCCTGTGCTGCTATCTTAAGCGTTTTCTGCCATACCATTGTTGGTTGTGGCGCCTTTTGCCTGCTAGCCGATACTCGGAATCATGATTCTTCACGAAATGCATCCTCCTGCGTTTTCGCTCATGTGGAGAGGTGGTTGTCCATGGAACAACTGCGGAAGACTTCTAAAGCAGAGTCTACGGCCAAGAAGGACTGTCGTCCAGTTTTGGGTCTTGTAAGACAGTGCGGCAGGTGGAGTCCCTCTTTGACCCCTCCGAAAGTGCAGACGCACTTGACGGCGAAGGTTGTTGCGACAACTCCTTCCCATTCGAGATGCATCCTGACGTTATTGTTTGCTGCAGTCTCCTCTCTTGAAGGCTTCGTCTCGAACCGGGACCAGTCGTACGAGGACCCTATGGAAGAGTGAGCTGCGCCGCTTTCCGCCTTCTAAGATGGGGCTTGCCAATCGTGTGTTCTTGTCGAGCACCAGGATAAAGCTAATGCTTAAATTGGCACCTGGAGGAACGTGCTCATGGCTGCGAATGCGCAATCTCCTGGTAATTTTGTCAATGAAAAGTCTGTTTCATGGTGCCGGTCACTGGATCATGTGCATTTTTTCGAAGCTCGCTGAATGTGCAGGCTCTGTGAAGGATCCGGATCAAAACATGACCTTTCAAGTGTGCTTCTACCCGCAATTGTCAAGTTACGTCTCCTCAACGTAGCTTGCTATCGATATTCTTCTCTGCAGGTATATCATATTCTTCCCGTCGTCTTGCTGACAAGATTCTACTCCCTCGTTCAGGCTCCTGTACAATGTCTTCGTCGCCTCAAGCGAGCGCGCAACCGTAGCTGAGCTCGCCGCCACCCTCCAATCCAACCCGAAGCGTCTCGAAGCCGCCGTGTCAATTGCCTGCCGCCTCGGTTTCGCCAAAAAGATCCTCGACCCTAGTTACCTCTTCGGCAAGGGCGCGATCGAGCTGACGGAAGAGGAAGGAGATGGCGCGCTCGAAGAGGACGGAGCCGACGAAGAAGGCGAGGATTCGGAGGGTTTGGGGACCGAGGCAGAGGCGGCCGCGGCTGCGGCCGCGGAGCCAGGGAAGGCGCCGGTGAATCGCTTTGCGCTGCTGGTGGACGCGAATCTGACGTCATATCTCATGATGGGGTCCCTCTCACCAGGTGAGTTAGGTTACATCTCATGAGGATGTCCTACAATCGGATGTCCATCGCGTGATCGTTGTGCATTGTTGAGCTTCATGTTGGGAAGGCGGGATGTCCTGGCTGCAAGCGCCGTGACATCAGGGTTCAATTATCTGGTGTCATCGTCAGGCCGCTGTACTAGTTGCCAAGAGGTGTCAAAGCAGTGGGTCAAATTCTTGCCAAGGCAATGCTGCCTATGAGACTGAAACGTCACAAATCGTCCCAAGCGCAGCAACATCTTTACCTCGTGAGAGATTCTCGCAGGCCGAAGCGAAGCGCAGGACGCCTGTTGAGGCCGGCAGACTACAAGAAGCGCTAGCTTTCGATCGACGTGTCCTGTCATCAAGGCGCTGATGTCAGCTCTGATCTGTCAGGTCACAGAGCATGTTTTCATCAGATTCAACTCTGAAGCGCCACGCGTTATGCTGTCCGGGGCCAGCAAGCTGAACGACGGCCGAAAGACCGAGTCCAGTCCAAAGCCCTGCAGTTCCTGAAACCTCAAGTTATCTCAATCCGCTTACCCGAATCTGCTTCCCCCAGGTCTGAAACGCCACGCAGTGACGCTGTTCGAGGCCGGCAAGCTGAACGACGGCAATGTCGCCGACATTGTGGACGACCTCGCGTCCGTCGAGGGCACGCGCCTTGAGGGCGAGCTGCAGCGCTTTGCGGACCACGCCTTCAGCCTGCGCGTCGTGCTGCAAACCCTGCGCTCCGGGGGGCTGACCGCGCCGAACGGCTCCGCGACCAACTCGCCGCAAGCGACTGCGTCGAGGAACGGGCTGGGGATCGGGGACTTGCTGAATCTGGAGGCGGAGAGGAGATTGAGCGTTGGCGGCGCAGAAGCTAATGCGGGGGAAGCGTCGCCGGACTCTTCCCCGGGGGGTACGGTTGAGGGGCAACTAGGGGGGGGTGGCGCGGCTGAGGCGCCGTTAGGGGAGAGTGAAAAGCGAGGAGGTGTGAAACCGTCCGGAGAGTTTGACGGACGTGCAGCGGCAGGGGACGGCGCTACAGAAAGCGGAGGCGCCAAGGGGTTTGGTTCGGATGACGAAGACTGGAAGGAGTTCCAGGCGGCCGATGCACGGCCAGCGGCGAACCTTGCAGAGCCAGGCGCGAGTGCGGCAACCGGGACAATCCCGGAACTGAGTCCCTTACCGGAGGGGGAACCGGACCTCTCGAGCTCTGACCCAAAACTGAGCCTCCGTCAAACAGACGCTTCCAGCTGGTTCGCCGCAGACGGCGTAACCGAGCAACGGCCGTTGACACCGGGCAGCCCGGCAGGCAGAGACGCGAGGGGGTTCCCCCTGGTGGTGTCGCCCGCTCCCGGGGGGGACGACAGCCAGCACAGCACGCCCCGGGCGGGGACCCCCCGGAGCCCCCGGTTGACGAGCAAGCTGAGCAAGCGGCTGCGGTGCTACGTGGACGTGCTGCGGTTGGAGAGTCTGGCCAGCCTGCAGCCGAGCATCGTGCAGCAGGTGAGTCAGCAAAGTGCCTGGAAATATAGCGTGCGGGACTCTTTTGGTGCCGGTCGGATAGGGCTTTTGGTGGTTAGCGGACTCTACATTCTCTCTCTGGTCGGGCTTTTTCACGGAAGATGTGGCCGCGACGTTGCTTCACAGCAGCCGGCAAGATCATGGCTAGCGCGAAGGGATTCCGTACCCTAAGCAAACCTGCTCACTTCGAGCAAACGTTTCGAGGAGGATCGTCGTCTAAGTTTTGAACTTCCGGCTCAGTTTGTCCGACGTTAAGCGATTTCACGCCCTTTTTTGCGATTGTTTCTGCAATGCTTCGGATTGCTGACCTCCGCTGTGTCACCTCGTTCGCCATGGTAAATCACATTTAAACCGCCGATGTGTGGCTCTCATATTCCCGTTACTATGCACTTCGTCACGGATGCCCCTTGAAATGCTGGATCACTTTGGTTCCGCATCCAGAGTACCACGTTTCTTTCTTTCGGCTTCTCAATCTTCAAAGAAGAGAACGAAGAACGCTCGAGTCGATTGACTTGCTCTGTTTCTTTTGCAAAGGATTCCAGATGTGAATCAAAAAGTGAATTTAAAATTCCGTCCTCGCACATTGACATGTTTCAGTCCTCCTGATCCCCTCTGCAGTCACTGAGCTAGAAACCCCCTCCTCTCCGCCCACAGATCCTAAAACGCGACTACGCAGTGCTCGTCTCCATGGTCCCCCTGGCCTCCTCCCCCCCCCTCTCCTCGGACGGCTCCGGTCCCGTTCACTTCGGCCCCCCCACCCCCGCTGCGTGTACGCCCTGGATGAAACTCCTCCTCTACTCCGTCGCCCAGTCTGGCCCTCCGACCCTCGCTCTAGTTCGCGGGCAACGCCTGCGCGTCCTCCCCCCCCAACTGAATCGCACGCAGCGCGCCGCGATCTGGGCCTGGGACGGGCTGGGCGTCGGCGGCGTCGGCGGGCGCGGCGGCGAGGGATCCGTCGTCGAGGGGGGGCTGCTTCTCCACGCGCTTAACACCCTACTAAAGTTCTCGGCGGTGCTCGTTCAGCCGCTCGGCGAGGGGGGTCTCGAAACCGCGGACGTCCCGCTCCCCCTCCCCGAGGAGGCCGTTGGCGACCTGCTGACGTCAGAGGCGGCGCCGGAGGTGACGTCAGCGGCGGACCCGTTTGCGCGGCTGCACAAGGAGCTCGCATTACGGCGGGTGGTGCACGATCTGCACCTGGGGACGCTGGGCTACATCCGGATGGTGCAATTCACACCCCCTCCAGCGGGCGCTTCCGCGGCTGGTGTGAATACGTTCTCAAGTCCGGGTGTGGAGCAGCCCTCAAGTCCGAGTGAGAACGACCCCTCCAGCACCGGTGTGAACAGGCCCTCGGGCCTGGGGGAAGTGAAAGTGCCAGTAGCGCAGTGGGTGCCACAGAGCGTCGAGTTCGGGGTGCCGCTGTTTGACACGTCGCTATGTAAGAAGGTGTGCGAGGGGGCGGTGCGGAGCCGGCTGTTTGATCCTGCGGCTCTGGAAAAGCACCGCGCTTCCATGGGGGCTCTGCGTCAGCAACTGCGAGAGTTCATCGGGGACTACCGGGCGAACGGCCGACTCGCGAACGAGTTCTTTGCGTCAAAGAAGGACAGGCCAGTAACTAGAGGCGCGGCCGGTTCCTTCTCGACGACGCTGTCGTTTGGCGAGTGGTCGTCCTCCGGGAACCTGCTGGAGCGAACCGGAGGGATCCCCCTAGAAAGGAGGACGAGCGTCAAGGCGGGGGAGGATGACATCAGCGAGTTGGCGCTCCCGGGCGTCAATCTGTACTTCGACGGGGCGCAGTTGCAGCCGGTAGACTTGGGCTCGTGCCTTCAGGGGCGCCTGCCGGCGGCGCTAGTCGCGGAGTCAACAAACTTCGCGCAGTCCGAGTTTTCGAGACGTGTCTCACTTGCTGCTTGAAGGTGACCTTATAGGAGGCTTGGCAAGCGGACTAGACTGAGGATGAAAGGACACGAACAGCAGAATAGAGAGTCCGAAGGGGCCCGACTTTTTGTTGACTTTGTTCAAGGAGAGCTGACCCCTTGGGTTTTTCCGCATGGATGGGCTTTGAGCTGCCATGGTGCTCGTTGCTTTCTTTGTGCCATTCAGACCGACATGAGTTGCTGGCACCTGGCGACGTGCCCCGGCTACTCTTGTTTCGGTTGAGCCTTCACGGCTTCTGCCAGGTCGACACCTTGAGATTTTTGATCACCTGAAGGTACCTTAGATAGCATGTCTTTCCTTCGTTTTTGTGGTGGAGTGCGGAGGTACACCGTTCTCGACGTATACCTAGTTGACTCGCCACGGTACGTACGAAGCGCCCAGTTCACTCTCCCGGTTGTCGGATCTTCAATAGCCCAAAGGCCGCCCACAGAATCGTCCGTTTCTCTCCCGCTTGAGTCCGGTCCTGGTGCTGCTCCGGTTCCGTTTGCCGATACCCTTTTGCTTCCGCTTTCCGGATCCCCTTTACCTTCTGCGCCTAAATCTGACTGGCTAGACCGAGATTCTAAACCTAGGCTATTAACAATGGCTGAGCTACTAGGCAGGCTGGCATTATTCACAGACGAAGCACCCCCGGTGTGAATACTTGTTCCGGAGGTGCGCGCGCGGGGCACCGAGCTCTCATCGGGCTTATTCACACTGTACAAATTGCGCTTGCGCCCGTTCCCCGCCTCACGCTCAAACCGCGACTCCCACTGCGCATTGCGCGAGTTTGTCCTTAACCCGTTTCTGCAACCGATCAATCTCTTCGTGTGCCGCTGCCTCCCCTGCCCTTCCGGACCCCTTTGACGACTCGTAACCCGGTCCCCAAACCCTTTTGTTACCAGCGCTCTCTGGCCTTGCATGTCAGTATTTACACTTTCTGCGGCTTCCTTCCCGGGCCGGCGACGTTTCGGCGAAGGGCCCGGAAGGGGGGCCTGTCCTCTGCGAATTGCAGGCCCCGAGCTGCTCAAGCGCGAACTCGGTCGCACCTACCAGTATAGGTACGCGATAGCAACTGGATGTGTACGCTATTTCGGTGTGTATCGGCGAACGGTACCTACCGGTATTTTTGTACCGAGCACCGGCACTGCACAGTGTGTACTAGGTACCGTAATAGGTACGGTGCCTAGGTATTAAATCAAAGTAAATAGGTAGGTACTAAGTAGGTACATGTCATTCCGACCTACAATCATTGACCAACAGACTCCATAGTCTACGGTATGGTCCAAACTCCAGTGACCATAGTCAAGTCACAAGTGTAGGCTAGCAAGTGACGGTAGCCTAAAAAGATTGATCATCAGATTAGGTAGCAATACCTAGTACCTGGAGGCTGGGACGGGGACTCGGGGAGGCTTAGTTTGGGGTAACCGTATTAGTGTGGGTTCGGGTGCGGAGCGGGTGATTTTGTGGGTTAGGTTTTTTAAGTGTTACTGCAGGAGCTGACTATTATATTGCTAAACCGAGGAGACATGCCCAAAAGGGGTCCAGATAATCACAACAATATCCTAAACCGCGAAAGATGAGCTGTATTGGAAGGGTGTGAACATTCTTGGTATTCAAGTAATTACCAGGTGACGTCAGGAACTGTTTGCCGGTTTTGATCAGTCGGTTTTGATTAGCCTGGAGGTATGGTACGTCTCTACATCTCAAAGATACTGTCAGGAAGAAAGAAGCAGAAGCTGCAAAACTGTGACCAGTGCGTTGGCTGTTCAGGGCGCGCCGCCCAGCCTGTGCGTATAGCACTGGACTGCGCCTGAAGGCAGAGACATTTTCATAATCTCCGAAGGCGGAGGTGTTTTGAAGTTCAGTAGGCCAGAGCCAGCTTCTAGCCTCTAGTAGTAGAACCACTTCCATATTCCACAGAAGAGAGAATCGGATTGTGGCAGCTTGAACCTTCTTTCAGTGATCTGTCAGCTGAATGCAGGGGCTGACTATACTTACAATCCCAAACTTCTACTTTGGTCTTTTTCCACAACCATAATTGCTCGTATTCAAAGTCTTCACCATGCATTTGCGGTGACGTTGATAAAGAGGAGACTCAATGACCAGTGGCGCCAACTTTTAGCAGGGCGCGGGACAGCTAGCGGAGTGTCTCATCAAAGGCCCACTGAGCAACCCAGGTTGAGTATGAAGGCATGGCAACTGCTGCCAGAAGGTCTCGAGGAATCTCTGTCAACAAAGCGCCTGGCGGGGTTCAGCAAGCTGAACATAACACCGGCGGTTCTCGTCATCTTAACCCTGCTTAACCTGTGGATAGCCGCCAAACCAACCCAAGTACAGCAGCTGTTAGTGGTCCCTAATTGCTGTACTGCCCATTTACAATCTCATTCTGCGCACGGCACAGCAGGCGCCGCGCGCCTCTCACCCCCCGCCCAGGCTGAAACCCTGCTGCGAAACCTCCAATTGCCTAACGACACCTGGCGGTCGTTCCCGCCGACAGTGCGGCACGACCCCATCCTCGGTTACGACTACGGGTTAGCCCACAAGGTTGGGTGGCTTGAAAACAAGACCCGGATTTGGGAGTGTATGGATAAGGTGGGGCCGCGCCGGCAGATTACGTTTGTGGGGGATAGTGTAACGAGGGACGCTTACGCGCGCATGGTTGAAGCACTGGGAGGGCCAACTTCTAGCTGGGTAGGACAGAGCACCCGGAATATGGCCATACATTGGTGGCTCGCACAGGGGGATTTTGAGCTGGACTCAGGTTGGTTATCTTCTAAACCCTCGCTTGACCCACACAAAATCCCGCACAGACTCCCGTACATCCCCCGTACCAATGAATTTGATGCGATTCTTCTGCGCAAGCAATATAGGTATCAGTGAGAGTTGGTTTCCGAGGCTGTTTGTGCTAGTATCAGCTAACCCAAGAATCTGAACTTTTATTCTTTAGAACCCAGCTTCACACTTGAGATGCAGCATCATAACAGAATCTGCTGCTTCACTTTTCCTATGCCTGGACTCGGCTTACTCCAACAATTATCAGTCCGTGTTTTGTGCATCATGATGGTCAATTAAGGGTTTGTGAAGGTACTATTATCAATAGAATGCATCATCTGCCGTTGTTCTTGTTATCTATTTTGGCATCCTTGAAGCTTGAACACCTCTTCCGACTCCCACTTTCAAAGAGACGGCTTCCCTAAATGTCTTTATTTTCGAAAGTCCCATTGCATCAGTCGAGAGCTACTGAGAGGAATCAAGTCTCACAATTGGGCTCTTCCGAAGCCGCGCCAAGTCTGTGCAATTCGCGCCTCCTATCTCATTAGCAAGAAAACACGAAACTTTGCAGGACTTGCTCCCATACCTGGAACGCCGCCACCCGCAAATGTGACACTCAGCTTTCGCTTTGCTTGCAACGCCTTTCCGCACATGACCAAGATTCTGTCGGACCCAGCAGTGAGCAATTCAGGTAAGATTTTCATTAGACAAGATCTTAGATTGCTCAGTCTACGGCCTCAGAAAAACACGCTTGAATGATCAGGGTTTCTGTTCAGTCGAAGAGTCTTTCTTTGGGAAAAGTCATGAGGCTGACGAAGTCGAAAACGAATTGCGAACCCCGAGAGGCATTAGGGTTTCTGGATGCGTTTTAGAACCCTCCTGTGAACAGTTTTTCGCTGTCAAAAAGTGCACGAAATCCTCCGAAACTAGGCGCAGAAGCAGATTGATGCTCGTAACGACCGCAGCAACATGCGAGTCCAGTACTTCAAACTTTGCAAAAGGTCCACAAGATTCATGGGTCGCGCTTTCGAGTCTTTCAATCACTTGACACCACTTGCTCCAACAATGCAAAGTTCCGAATCAATTCTCGTTTTGTGCTCTTTTGAGTCTTTCAAATGACACCACTTTGCATCAAATAGCTTCGAAAACTCCATAGACCTCATGTGTCGCACTCTCGAGTATTGCATTTGTTAGACACCATTCTTTGCTCGAACCAATGACTTCGGCCTTGCAGACGTGTTGGTGCTAAATTCGGGACTCTGGGAGATGGGGACGGGCTCTGGGACGGGAACGCTTAACGGGAGCTGGATGCGAGACTACATGTACCGATTGTCCCAACTCGTCTTGCATCTAAAGGAAAACTATAAGGTGGGAACGCTACTGGTGATTCTTTGTTGGAGAATTGTCGATCCGCTTTTGCAAGGAAAGCTAAGGTGTATCTCAGAAAGAGGTTCTTGGTAAGTCTTTCAATGAACACTTCTGGTGAGGCTGCGCTAGAACGCTTCCGGTGAGTCTTTGCTGGAGACGTTTTGATAAGCTTTTGCAAGGACGGCTTCGGTTGGCCAAAGACAAATCTCTGCTTAGAATTTGCGAACAACTTTCGTGGCTCCTTGCATATATCTGAGTCTCCGCTGGACAGCTTCCTCTGGAATTTCGTACACAGGGTTTCGGCAGCTTTCAAAGAGAAGTTTCTGTGGGTTTCGGAGAAAAGCTTTCAATAGACTGGCCTAATGCGCAAAGAACGGTCTGTTATTCTTCGGCGGGTGGTCTTCACAGCTGTTCTGAGTTGAAATTCTAATGGACGAACCGGTGGGTCTCTTTGAGGAAGAGACACAAAACGTCTTTGTAAACAAATCTCGGTGGATCTTGACGGAGAGGATTCTGATGAACTCTCTGCAAAAACAGAGGGACGGGTTTGGAAAAAAAGTGGTGCTTCTTTGCAGGAAAGCGTTTGTTTGTCGGTTGCATGGAAAGCTTTTGGTGCATCGGACACATGAGAAGCCTTCCTCAATCTGTAAACGCCAATGGGGTGCGACCTTGGCGCGAGTGAAGCGACCGATATGTCCAACTGCGGCAAGGAGAGAGCACCTGGAAGGACGGTCCAATTGGAACTTGACTCCAGTTGAATCGATCCACTTGCTTCCCTAATCCATCAGCAAGTTCCAAATCATTGTGCACGGCTGTTTTGGTCAGGTTTGATCAAACCCTCCCCTTAACCTCCTTGACAGGGCCGAGTTATCTGGCGGACCATGGGGGCGATCGACTGGTACAAGGCAAAAGAAAGGGACCGGTTCCTTCCGTTCAAGTTCCGGGCAATGAACCTGTTTGCGGAAGGCCTGTTCAGGGGGGCGGGGTAAGCCTCCGCCCTTTTCTCTTGCCCCTTTCTGGGTCTATCTAATCATTTATCCATATTTTGATCATATGAAGAGATTTTAGAGCTGCATTTCAACTTCGTCCGTCTCAATAGAAGCAGATTCTCACTGGCTCTCTTTAAAAAGGGTAGCTAGCGGTTCTACGAAACAGCCCTCAGCCGCTTCTTTCCCAGAAATTGGCCCAGAGACACTCGAACTGTCGGGTATCGACATTTGGCTTAAAAAAAGGTGGGAATAAGCTCTTAGCGATTAGGCGGGCCATGTGTTGAACCCCATCAAGCTTGACGTCAGCAGCTTTCCATCTGACATGAAGCACGTCTTGGCAAGTGTTTCACACGTGACGGCGACCGGTGACCGCCGGCCCAGCTTTGCAGTCGCTCGTGCAATTGCCACGTGGCCAAGTTTCGCAGCGCAGGGCAATTAATAGCCCTTCATTGGATGTCGCCGCCAGCCGCATGGGGTAGACGCTTTCTTAAGTTGCCTCCGTCAGCCCTCATCTTGATGACCTCCGACTGCTACTCCTCACGTTAACGTGAAACATTACTCCCAGCAATAATGATTCTTCTCTTAAGAATAAAGCGAGGCGCGATTGAGAGGTGTAAATCAGGTATCCACATCGAAACTTCGTTTTAGGAAATATGCCAGAAGCTGTCAGAAATTCTATGCATATTCTGAAAGCAAACCCCCATCGCGTATGCAGATACGAGGTCGTCGACTTCTGGTCGGCTATGGCGATCGACACGACCGGTCTCACGACGCCGGACGGGGTGCACGGGGGGGAGGCGATCCTCGCCGATCTGGTTTTCAACAAGGTGTGGGCCAATCCCCTTCTGACACGTGGCCTGATCTGCCAATCTGTGCAGCGCTGTCCTCGCTTCGTTTGTATCCCATTCATAGGAACGGGGCCCAATTAAGCGTCTGTCAGATGCTTTGTCCGTTTGAGGAAGAGATTCGAGGATCCAATTGAGATGAATGTTACGTTGACGGGGAGTCTACTTCTCGGCGGCTTGAAAGGAAAAAGCAGTTCCTCTAGCTTTAGAGATTGGAAATCGAGCAGCCATTCTCCACTTCGTTTCCAAGGGATAAAAATAAGGTAGGTGTTAGCAACGACACGGAAACCATCGCATCTTTTTCAAGTGTCATGTCCCTGTCAAAATCTTTGAATCGGAAGCGCATTCACGTGTCGGCCTTTATCCCGAAAATGTGTTGAAGACGCCTTCTTCCGAATCTCACAAAACTCGGCGGAAGAGTGTTGAAACTGGCGCGGCCCGTTTCGGGTCTTTCTTTTTCGAACGGATGGAGATCGACGCACGCGTGTGGGGCATACTTGCGTCCGTTACTCCTGCGTTTTTTCGACGCCACATGTTTGCGGCGCCGCTGAGGTGATCGGAAACTTTCCGGATAAAAGGAAACGGAAACGGAACGTCTGCTGAGTATCTTTACCCTCAGTCTTAACGTTCAGATTATTGTGTTGGGCAAACGCTTTCAAAATCATCTGCTCGCAATCGTTCAAAGTCCGCCCACAAAGGAAACAACGGCAGCGCCCCATTGCTCCTGACGCTGACGTATGTTGCCATCTTCTGGGCTCCCCGCAAACGTCAGAAGAATATATATACGGCTTACCAAATTACTTCGTCAACCATGTGCCTTCTCCCTCGCAGGTCTGTCTCGACGAGCCGCTCTTTAGCGTAGACACAGCGGCTGAGATCGTGAAAGCCGTAGACTCAGGCAGCATGCCTCCGCCAAAATTACAAGGACCGGACCCGCCCTTCGTTCCTTTCCCGTAAAAGAATTGGGTTTGATTGCACGTAACCAGACTCTGGTCGAAGGTGACCCGATATCTGGGAGCAGCGAACTAACCCCGGTTAGCATTAACCAGGGCGACCGAGTCTGGTTGGTGCCCATGAGTCTGGTCAGCAGATTTAACCAGGCCTGGTCAGCGCGGCTAACCGACCGGCATGGTTACGGAATGGCCAGGGCCTGGTTAGCGATTCTCGTTAACCGTCAAAATCCCCTGTGCTAGAGCCTCAACAAAGCTTTGTGAAAATGGTAAAAATGTAGTTGTCAGGTCAAGGTTCGGCGTCGACCGAAGACAACGAGGAAGTTTCAGCCAATCGCAACCGCCACGTGGCTTTTCGAACCAGTTGTAACGCGGGATCTTAGCAAGGTTAAGGTCTACAACGGGAAGGAAGCCTAGGGTTGAGCGGCTACGCTGGCGGTTTCTTGAACTCCCAACCTGTATCGGTCGGCGCCAATCCTAAAGTACAGTCAAGAACACTGGTTTCAAGAAACAGGCGATCCGATGTAGGTCAACTTCGGACACCTCCAACTTTGAAACCTGAGCCGTACAAAAAAACACTAATTCTTAGTCGGTGACAGGTTTAGGATTTGTGTCAGCAATGCAATCTGATGGCGTTGAGTTACTCAAATTGACGGGTGGGTTAGGGAGAGGGTTAGACATATTCCGGAGTGCGAGTAGGCTGATTGTGCTCCGGATTCTAGTGTGACCTTAGATGATGCTCAGCTCGAGCTGGCACTGCGGCTACTCAATTGTTGACACTTTTGAGGTTTACAGGTATAAAAGTTGCTATTGTGTGTCGGTCAGGCTTTGAATAGAGTCAGTCGTGCAATCCGGAGGTCAAAGTTTGATACATCAGACCTCCAAGATGAGTGAGGACGGGAGGCGACCACGATGAGGTCTGCACGCTTCCACGGAACCGCTCGTTGCTCTTACCCACGCTTTTTGAAACTTCGCCATCCCTGTGAAGTAGATAAAGTTTGAAAACTGAAGTAGCTAGCGATTTCCAAGTCATGCACGTGCAAGGAATCTCGTATCCAACTGCCAAGACTTGGAAAAGCTAGTAAAAGCGGCTGTACTAGATTCGGTTGGATCCGGAGTTCGCATGCTTTATGCAAAGCTATCGCGGGCCCAACTGTACTTAGCGGTCAATCAACGATCTCGCACATGAGGTCAATCACGAGTGCATGAGCTTTTGCGTCCTCCGAGTCTGCGGAGGTTCGCCTGTGACCTCACTGAACAATGATGGCTTGCGCAAACCATATATTGGCTCGAATTTAATATGCACATGTCGATCGAAAACATGTAGTCACTGGAGGAGTTTGCAGTGAGTCGCTTCCGCATCATCATGCACACGCTCTTGTATAGCTCGTTAATTCTTGTATGAAGCACCCGCTGAGACGTACGGGATCACATTTGTGTTAGCAATTGATATTGGCTACCGTCTTTGAGAGTCGGGCTGCACATGCAGACAGTCAAGTACGGTGTATCAGACTTGGCCGTAACGGGTGACGTCATCCTCGCCCGCTTTGACGCTCGTCCGCCTTTCCAGGGGGATCCCGCGGACCGCTCCAGTGAATTTTTTCACACTTTTTAGGGATTTAGGGTTAGAAAAGGACCACCTGTCCAAAGGTAGCGTCGTTGCGAGATATTGGCCCGGCGCCTCCTTGACGCAAAAACTGGTTTGCGAGCCGGCCGTTCGCCAGGTCCTCGCTGACGTAATCCCGCAGCTGCTGACGCACGCCATCGCGTCCATCGCGCCGGGGCCGCCGCTCTTCCAGCGCCGCGGGGTCGAACAGCCAGCTCCGCAACGGCCCCTCATCATTGCTTTCTTCTTAGTAATGTGCGATACTCAACGAAGAGCTCGTGTCGTCTTGAAGGAGTGTGAAAAGCTGGAAGCCTAGTAGCCTGAAAGGCGGCAGCGTTCCAGAACTTTTTCTAAAGGCAGAGCGGGCGCCAGTACGAGCACATTCTTGATTACGTCATAGCAACGTGTTAAACCGTAGCCCTCCGCACTCGACGCTCTCTAGACTCTGGCACCCACTGCTCCACTGGCGTTTTCGTCGCCCCGGGGCCGAGAGCCTACTTTCACCGGGGCTCGTGAACTCATTCCCATGATCCACGCGCAAGAGTTTTTTCTCACCCGCGCTCAAGACCGTATTTACACCAACCAAGGAAGCACCCGCTGGAGGAGGTGTGAAGGTGCACCATCCGCTTGTAGCCCAGCGTCGTCCCTAGGTGCAAAGTCCGGTGCAAACCGTGCACCACGCCCTATTCGCGAGCCAGCCGCGCACATGGGTCCGCTGCTGACGTCACTTCCTGCGCCGTCTCTAACGTCGGCACTGGGCAGGGTCGCCGACGGCCTCCTCAGAGAAGGGTGGCAAAACGTCCGCGTTGTCGGAACATCCCCTCGCCGAGCGGCTGCGCGCGCGCCGCCTGAACTTTTCGTGGGGGTTGAACGAGCGGAGGAGCAACCCCCCGTCAACGAGGGACTCTTTGCTGCTGCATCCCTCCCGGGACCGCCGGCGGCCGGCACCGACGCGCGCGCCGTCCTGGGCCCGGTGCGCCGACGCCGGCGCGCTGCGCGCGCGCGCGCGCTTCAGTTGCGGGCGGGGTGAGACGTTGGCGCGCGAACTAGAGCGAAGGTCGTGGGGTCGGACTGGGCGACGGAGCAGAGAACGAATGTTGTCCAGGGCGAGCACGCGACCAGGGGGGAAGGGGCGGGGGGGGAGTACACGGGACCGGAGCCGTCGGGGGATGGGGAGGAGAGGCCACTGGGGGACCATGGAAAACAGCAGTGCATAGTCGCGCTTCAGGATCTATTGTATGTGCAGATAGAGAGAATGTCTTACCCGAATGACGGCAGGGGGAAGCGAACAAAAATGTGCACGTGGGCATGTTTTGTGCGTTCAAACAGCATTGCAGCCTGGCCCTGAGAACTACAAAGGCTGACGTCATCGCCTCTGGCACGAAGCATCTTGGGCCGCTTCAAATCTGTCGATCTCATGAAGTCACTTTGCACTTCGCCGTGGCGGTGCAACACGCTCTCAAGGTCCAACGAAAGCTGCACAAAGAAGATGATACATCCAGTGTACGAAGCTGCGAGAAACCTCAAAACCCTGAATCGCCTGGAATATCGCAATGCCTGGCGGCGGCCGCCTCGGCACCTCAGCCGGCGCGCCTTGCAACTGATAGCATGCCGACATTTGTGCGACCAAACTTTGACTTGGAGTCTATTTGCATGGCCGGGCTTGGATTAAATAACTCCAGCACCCTGTATGTGCACTCGAACGGTCGGCCAGCCCCGCCCCCCGCCTTGCAGGAACATGTCAGAAGCTCATTGAGACTTGCGATGAGCTCGAGGCAGGTAATACGTCGTGGAATATTTAGGCACTGATGTTTCATTGGCGGCGTAATCAAGGTTAGGCATGCCATATGATGGAAATAATGCAGGGACTAAGCATGTTTCGAGCACATTGCCTTCGCAAAGGTAGCGTCTCCGAGAGGGATATTTCTAATATACATAGCAGTTTAAGCGAAATGGTCTTCTTCACTAGCTCACGACATGCTACAAGGTTGCACGCTACTCAAACTGTCGCTCAAGGTCGATCTGTCGACTACAACGAGAAACCCAAGTCGGAGGTCTCTCGGTCAACACTTACTGGTGGGCTCTTTCGCATACAGCTTCGACTGTTCGAAACACAATTGCCAATGCGATATATCGGATTTGCGAGCTCCTCATCTCACGATTTGAGAGCGCGAACCAAATGCTAGAAAAGCTTTGCGAAATGATTTTATATCCTGCCCTGCTTTTATGAGCGTTTTTTCAACAAGGGGTCGTCCCATAGGAGGCCAATCAGCATATTGGTCGTTGTGCTGGACACAATTTGAGGGAAGTTGGGCTTGAAGCAGCACTGCGTGACCACTGGATTCCACGTGGACTCGTTGCAGCTCTTCTCCGTGCTTTGCTGCGATACGAGCGATGAGGTATACACTCCATTAGCGGCGAGACATTCGATTGCAGAAACTAAGATATCAACGGATATCAGTATTCAGCGACACTTGAATGCAGTTGACGACCTAAGCGATGCAAAGAGTTTCTCTGAGCATTCATTATCAAGGGCCAGATCTGTCTCCTCACGCACTCACCCCAGGCAAGCACTTCCGGGGGAAGAAGTGGTAACCGTCGAGACTTCTGTCGGGTCTCGTTGTGCTTATGTCAAACATGTCCTGCGAAACAACGCAGTAATAAGATTAAAGTGGACGCGCAAAGGGCTTCGTATGTGCCGTGTGCTGCTTCTCGGCTCACGAAAAACCGCTCCACCGGTCTCGTTTGTCTGATCTTACAAGTACAAACAATTGGAGTACGACACAAGTCTCTCTTGGAGCGGATATTTGACAACCTACATCGTCTTTCGAAGAGATTGTTCTGGCCGGTAACGAGTTGAGTAAGATCCTGATACAACGGCAAATTGCCTCGAAAGAGCGTGCAGCTACCCTTCCGTTCAAGCCCCCTGACCGGCTTTGTCTCTACCAAGCCCCTGTCCCGATGTGAGCCGATCAGCACGTACGTGTCTAAAACTAGGACGTTTCGGCTTCGCTCAAGCCAAGTGCTATTTGGAACAGCTGCCTTGCAAGTGGTGAATATGTAACCTGCCTACTCCTGAAGGGCCAAGCGCTTACCAGCATCAGAACCTCTGCGTCCCAAGCCGAGCCTTTGAACGCATCCCCCACCATCGTTTCTATTCCTTTGTCGAGTTGACACTGCAAAAGAAAGACGTCATATGGAAAGTCTCAGAGGCGTGTACCGAAACTCTTTCGGAGGTGCTGTTAAAACGTTTCGCTGCTGAAGAGGAGAAGAAGGGCCAGCGGGCCGTGCAAAACATCATGTGCCAGATGTGTACTGGTTGCACGGAGCAGAGTTGTCCGTCACGGGCATAGGCAGCAAACGAGGACAATCAGTTGAGTTTCCTTGCGCGCTGCGAACTACTCGCTGTGTTTGGTCCACTAAAAAGCGTATGGTGAGTCCCCACTGCACTCGAGAATCATTCCACTTAGGATCCGGTGTGCTGAAACTATCGGTTACACCAGAACCCCGAGTATCACGCCGCTCCGTATCCGAACCCACCCTAACCACCCAACTAACCCAAACCGGGACCCGAGCGCCTGTACTGAGTAAGATGCCAGTAAAGAGAAGTGGGAATTAACAAAGTTCGATAACTTGATAAGCTCAATTGAACTCACCAGATTGCGTGGGATTGTGTGGTTCCCAACGCACACGTGCGACCACTCAAACCGCGCGCTCCCCGACCGGTAGACCAGCCTCCCGGGAAACCGCTCGAGACACGTGTCCCTCGGAAGGTGCACCCCGGTTCCGCTGTTTCCGGGCGGGTCGAAGTCTCGCCAGGAGCACTTATTGCTGCCCAGGACTTGTTCCGGCGGAATGGTGAAGTCGAAGGGGTGCAGAACGGAGTTCCGGAGCTCTTTCGGGCGGCAGATGAGGCTCCGGAAGATGTTGCGGAAGAAGGCCGGAATCTGGCACGAGAACTGGATGCCGAGGTGCATGCCCCACAGCCCGTAGTTGAGCACAGTCGCGTGGTAGTGAAACTTGGCGAGGTTCACCTGCGGACTCAAGATGACGTCAGCCGCGCTAAACTGAGCGAAGCCGGACGTCAGCGAGCGACTCGGCGTGTAGCTTAGGTAGCTTGGCGAGGTTCACCTGCGGACTCACGGTGACGTCAGCCGGGCTAGAATGACGTCAGCGAGTGTGCAGGCGTTCAATTTAGCCGAAGTGAAGGTTCCCGGGCGAAGACGGAAATGAGCAAATCGATTACGATTCAGGTAGTGGACCTTGCGTGGTTCACCTGCGGACTCCCGGTGACGTCAGCTGCGCTAATCTAAGCGCAGACGGACATCAGCGAGCGACTAGGCGTATACTTTAGGAAGTGGGGTTTGCCGAGTTTGACCTCCGGGGAGGCGATGTAAAGCGCCCAAAGTGAAGATCTCTGAGCGAAGACGGATTGACTTATACTACGCGTAGTGGAATCTGACGAGGTTCGGGTGACGCCAGCGGCGTTAAGACGACAGCCTTTGAGCGAAGTCGGACGTCAGCGAGCGAACAGGCGTATACGAGTAGTTTCGGTAAAGTAGACCCAGCTAAATCAGGTAGATTAACCTCATTGCCCGGCCTGTAGACAAGTCCGGTCAGGGGAGGGGCTTAGGTGGGCAAAGGTGCGGAGCGGATAGATCTGTCGGTTGGTTTCAGTTCCTGGTTTCGTCTTACCTCGACATCTGTTGTTATGCTAACCCGGAATTAAGCTATCTAAACGGGTGTCGACAGCTGCAGCGTCGCAAATCGACCTTCGACCGGCCGTGAACGATCAGTAAGTCCTGTGCTTAAGTCGTTACCACATCAGATGTTCGCTTCGCTTCCTTTGCCTTCGGGTGCGACCTTTCGGACCAGAAAGTCTCGGCAGCTGTTGGACAGCTGGGACACGCTTTTGGGCCGCTTCTCGGACATGCTTTCTACACAACGGTTGGGGCGTGCAGGATTCGCAAGACTACTCTGAGATGAATTTCTTATTCGGCTCTTTGAGTGCAATATGGTGACTCACCTTGTTCTCCCAGGCTCTGCGAACCAACGATTCAAAACCGTACAAGTCGTCGGTTACCGGAAAGTACTCGATGCGCACCTTCCCAACCTGAAGACGAGGCGAGAGCAGCTGAGGTTGTCATGTTATCACTTTACTTTTGTTAGCAGACGTTGTTGTAGACGAACCTGCTTATAGCAGATCTCCGTGAATCTAGTGCCTTGTTCGCTGTGTTTGACGTTGTCGTCTTGTGTCTCCAATTTCAGCTTCGCTGTTCCTATCTTGCTGTCAGATTCTCAATGTTTCAGATTTCCATCCTCTTTCTGCTTTCTCAGCGATACTCATTCCTAATAACTTGCAAAGAAAACTTCCAACCTTCAGTGGCACGTGAATCTGGTAAAGACGCTTACAATTCTGTGGAGGCTCGCAATTCGTTTGAACTCCTACAGGTTACCTGTCAGTATGATGTAACGTCTCTGCAGGCAGGGCACTTCGCAAAATTGTAAGCAGCGTTTTCTAACTTGAATCACGCACTGCATATTTACAGATCGAGATGCTTGGACGGACCTGGAAGCTGAGAAGTACGTCAAACGGTACTGGTACTTAGTCACCCTAAAGCTGGAAATCACTTGCCTCCATTGGGTTCGGTGTTATGTTCAGCATGTCGTGACGGAAGCCCCACAGCGGCGTATTGAAGCTCGACACGTGGTCGTCCCAGGAGCTGGCATATGTACCGCTTCCTTCTCCGTACGTCTCATACGGGCCCTGAAGCGTCTCCGGACCGTTCCCGTACCAGAGCCAATTCTGAAGGTCGGTGAAATGACCTCGGAACTGGTAAGACAAATAGAGACCTTGCTCTACATAGGAAGTTTTGGCTTCTAATCAGGCGGGTTACCAGACTGAGTCTCAGCTGGTTATAGGACAAAAAAACCAGGCTTAGTCCTCGTTCCGGGGCTGGTTACCACCCGAATCTGGTCGTTAAACATATAACCTTGAACAGCCTATAACAAGCCCATAACCATCCATGGTTAAGGGCCACAAACTCCGTTGTTTAGCAGGGCTGGTCCGAACTAAGGTGTGGACAGATGTCAGAACAGGGCAAGGAAATTGTTGTCCTGCGCCACCCATCAGAACCCACCAGGAGGTGATCTGAGGTTGTCAGAAGACTGTCGTTCTCTGGATTGCCAATTCACGGACCAAGGCCGATTCGACTACGACGACTCGTCGTGCGGTGCCTACAGAACCTTTTTGAAATGCTCGCTCGGGCCCTTGCGTATCGTCGTCTGTTGCTGGCAGCACCTGCTTGTCAACCCAGATCTAAAAAGGCCCCGCTTCATGAGCTTTTGATAGCTTCGATTGAAGGGCGAAAACACTAGGTTGAGGGCAGATCCGCGGGTTCAAATCTCCGAAGCAGTGCTGGTAAATCAGACTCCAAACATGCCACTTTAGCTTCTTCTAGTGGCGACTCCAAAAAGTTACCAGCGAACTTGGAGACCTTCTAAAAGCACTACAGCGCAGATCGTCGAAAGACCGTTACTCAGTGGGCTTCCAAAAGTGCCAAGATAGTATCGCGCAGGCAACAGACGGAGGGGTGGCGTCACGCGTACCGTCGAATCCCCGGCCAGCAGGATGCTCGCCCCCGCAAAGTGCTCCAAAAATTCGGCGCGCGAGTAAAACGGGAACGTGCACTCCCTTGCGGCCCAAACGAAGTCGTCATCCACCCACTCCTCCATCGCCCCGAGCACGTTTGCCCCACAAACCCGGGTTAGCTCCGTCCGGTTAACCCATTGCCCGGGCAGCGTGCCAACCCCGGGGCCTCGGCACGGCTTGCATCCCCGGACAGGGGTTTTCGGGTTTGGGAGGACGGTTAAGTCGAGGGTTTGGGGCATGGGGAGGGTTTGCTGGTGGAGCCAGGGGGTGAAGATGGAAGAGACTGGGCGCTCGGAGGGGATCCATGGGAGGACCAAGTCGGACGAGATCCATAGCTTATAAACCCCTTCCTGCAGCAACAATTGTCAACCTTACTGACGGTGCACGGGGGCAACGTTGGGAGAGTAAGATATCAAAATGTAGCAAAAGCGAAAGTCTTGATGAAAGCACGATGAACGTTACTGGGTTTCAATGCGAAGCCTAAAGCAGATAATGTACGTGATAGGTTGCGCGAAAGGTTCTCTCCCCCAGTCGCTGCTTTCAGGGTTAAAGGCGTGCCCAAGAGAACGTTGGACAACTTTCTCCCAAATTCGTACTCTCGGATCCTCGCCCGGTTCGATCTCCTCAGCACAAAACTGCTTCAGCCTTATAGTAAGCCTCACGTTGGGACGGGGTGAGGAAGCTTAAGCAGTCTCTTCATTGACGTACAGTTAGCTCCGTGAATAAGCTGCTGGAACTGAGAACCTAAACCCTCAGAATCACCTGCTCCACACCCGTATGCACCCTAACCCCCAGAATAAACCCACCCGTCCTAAGCTGCTTAGCTCACTATATCAAAGGTTAACTATACGTAGATTGGATTCTGATGGAAGGAAGGACGTGCCTGCTGTGGCGTGAAGTCAACCCGCACCGTCCCCTGATCCACGACCGTCATGTCCAGCTGAAAGATGCCCGCCGGGCCCGCCGCTCGTCCGTAGCACTTGAATCTGCAAGAGCGGATGACCGGCTTCATATTCTCACGAACGAGGTATGCCGTCGATTCTAGCTTGATCAGCTCACGAAAGGAAGCTAGGCCCGCCAGAAGTAGCGCTAGGCTCTGTTTTGGATTCGAGCTAGGACTGCATTTTTGCAACTGAAAGTTATTAAGTCTTCCGCATCTTGAGAGAATGGTTTGGGCAGCTTATAACCATCCATGCAAGTCTGCTTAGACTTCGGGAAAAGCTTGGAACCAATTGAAGGCTGATGGCACAACTCCTAGCGTTTTCACTGGACTGCAACGCCTTGCGCAACTTTTTGGTGCTCACCGGCTTGCTCCAGGCATGTGGAGGAAGAAGTGGCTCGGCTGCATGACGCAAGCCTGCTTGAGGTTCGGCCCCTCGAGACAAAAGTCGTCCTGGCATATTGTGGCCCACTCCGGCGCAAACTCGCTCCTTGTTTCTGACAGTGCGGTGGCAGACTGGAGAAGTGCATGCATTTTGTGCGATACCTGCAGATCAATATCTGAAAATTGAGAGATTGATTCAGTCTTGAACCAGCTGGAGTTGAAGAAGGTTCAAAGCGATTACAGCTTGCTATGAGAATTGCCGTTTGAATGGAAAGATGCGGCAGACTGAAAGTTTCAGTCTCTTTCCCGAAAGCCCTTTCTTCATTTTCTTATCGGGAAAGGAGCTTCCAGCAGCAAATATGAATGGTAAAAACAATTCCGATAGGCAAAGGCCGGCAGGGCCCATTTAACGGAAACCATTCCTCAAATCTTTCCTCAGAAAGGGAGCTTTCAGCGGCAAAGATATGGACAGTTGTAACGAGTTCTGGCAGTCAAAGCTAGGGGCATCGCGGTAAGGAAGTACCTGATCGAAGGTACCTGGCGGCCGGCCCCCCATAAGCAAGTACACAAGGAAAGCGGTCAGAACTAGAGTGGCGCCAACGATCGGAGGACTCCTCTTCTTTCCGGTAAGCTGGTCTCCCATGACAGCAACCGCTACGTATTGCGGGCTGTGGCAGATCTGGATAGGAAAGCTGTCAACCACACTGCTGGTCTTCATGGGTTGCAGCTCTGCGCTTTCATTTGAAGGCTAACTTAAGGCCCAAAGCGGCAGAGCCCAGCGCGTCAAGCGCGCCAAAAGGTGGACAGCGGAGCAATAGCAGCTAGCAATTATTAGTCGCTGGTGACCACCAATGCCGTGTTCAGCAAATGATTGGAGCTGAACTCTTAGTCAGAGCTTCGCTACTTGGTATGCATACTTTAAAACTCCCTCATATTTATGGCCACCTCTTTTGTGACTCTTGCGACATTATTGGATGTTTGAGGAATGTCTTGAGTCCCAGATTCAGACGACAGTCGAGGCGTCAGCACACATAGAAACCTGCGCCTGTCTTGAAACGTATTCCAGACTAGCGTCGACGATAGCCAGGCAGGTTGAGGTTGCAGCGGCTCCAGCACACTGAGCTGGAAACGCAATGCTGTCTGTATATTCGCTAAGCTTCCTACGGCCTCAAAGATGCAGACTCCAAAGATGCAGACTCCAAAGATGCTTGTTTAGCAGAAATAGCTTGTTTAAAAACTAATACGGAAGAAAAGGGCCACAAGGCTTCTCGACCCTCCACCTGCACAGCTTCTATTGCCTCACTTTGGTCAACTCCCTGCTTTTGAAGCCTTCACAAGAGCTAGGAGGAGCTTCGAAGATCCGCGCAGAATACCTATCAGAATCGTTCACTCTTTGGCATTGCACGGTTTGATGTGGCGCAGCGCAGGTTTACATGTCATTGTTAGACAGCACGCAAGTCAGGCTTGCGGCTAGTGCTGGCTGCCCCAGAAGGTCCGGATTCTCATTGGCTCAGCACAGATTCTCAAAGTGACAACACAGACTGTCGCTTGCCACTGGGGGCTTGCCAGTACCGTATTCCATTATGCACACATGTGTACGAGGTTTACAGTACCTATAGGTAGTAAACTTTACTACCTATAGGTACGGTAGTAGGTACGAGGTACACACTCGGTAGCTAGAAGTGCTCGGTGGTGCTCACGAAACCGACGTTTCGTCTTTTCCACGGTGCCATACAATCATTGCTTCTTGGGACCGACATACCTAGGTACCTTTGGGCAGGTACACTGAGGTACAAAATAGTACAGCCAAATGCAGGTACCGGTGTATCGGTAGATTCGGTACCCGTGGCCGTCACCGTCTCCATGTACCAGGTAAAGGATGAACAATCTGAGGAGATGTGGGACTCCTATACCTGGCGACGGTCGCCGGAGCGCGGGTGCCAAACCGCACGGCGGCCCCTGGGAGGCGGCGACGACCTCGACTTACGAGGAATTATACACCCTTTGTCGCGGCATGACCCGTAGTGCGTTTGCGAGGGATCGAACCCAGGTCCCTCGCAGACATTGACGTCATCATTTCATCACCCAGTGAAGGGGAAATCCCTACGCCTTAAGGGAAGCGTCATTTTGAAGCTGTACCCCCCGTAGTAACTGTTGAGCCCTTTTGAGTTGAGGACCCTTGTCCCCCCCCTTTCCCAACTTGCCCCACTGGCTCAAGTCCCAAGGTCCCCCCCCCATGCCTTTCGAGCCTTGGAAGGTTTCAAGTCCCCCTCCCATATACAGGCTTGAAAAAGGCGAATTTCCTAGATGTATTGAGTATATTTGCCAGACTTCGATTGCACCGATCCTTACAGAGAGCTACTTGTAAGGTCTTTTTGACCATTTGGTGCAGAATTTGCCCATAAAACGCCCAAATCACACCCAGAATCCTACATTGGAACGAATCAAAAGGGATCAAAACGCCTAAATCTGCCCCTATGACCTTTCCATCTCGAGGCCTGCAAAGGCTCCCCCCCCATGTAGCTACGAGATTCTTCACAGGCTGCCGAGTCCCCCCCCCTTCATCACCCTAGGATTCAATATTGGTCCAAGGTACCCCCCCCTTAACAGTTGCTACGGGGGGTACCGCTACAAAATGACCCTTCCCTTAGCCGCTAGACCAAGCGTAGGATGACTGATTATTACCCTCTCCATGTACCAGGTGCGGTATTCTACCTCTGTAGGTACCGTCTGTAGTCCGTACGCAGTGCTACGCACATAGGTAGGTACCATATCTCTCAGGTACCGTGTACGATATGAAGCAGCAAAGCTAGCAAAGGTGTCGATTGTAATCAAGCCATCGAAGTTGCATGCGATCAAAAACCCATCAAATGCTTTGAAAAAGCACCAATGAGCTTGGAGCACTCTTGACTGGTCTCTGCTCTCATGGCCTCTACTTAAAGGAGTGCAATGTTGCATCTGGCTATAACCACAAAACCAGCTCAGTGTCCTGGCTATGGCGCCCCGGACTCCATGCACAATGACATGGACAAGTCAGAAAGTCAAAACAGTGGGCGCCATTGCAAAGTAGACGCAAGTTGGTTGTTGCAATGCTTTTGCGCAAGTATTAGTCAATCCTCGCAAAGGGCAAACCAGTATGTACAGCCCTTTCCCTCTGCTGTTGACTAATGCTGGACACATTGTCAGACTGAAGGTCTGACTGCCCACATAAAATGGCTATGCTTGCTTGGAAAGTCAGCATCATCGTTCTGGTTGGCCAACCAATGCCGTGACTGCCTGTCTTCCCCTGGCAAAACTGAGCGTTTATCCTGATCAATTAAAAGCTGCGAAGCAGTCCAACACGTTGCTTGGCTGAATGGTGCAACTTCCGGCTTTGGGTGCAGCGCACCGAAGCACAAGAGTTCTAAACAATCTTTCAATCCTTGAAGCTTCCAAAGCCGATTGACTGCTCAGCCAGGATAACTTAGGAAAATTTTGTGATGCTTTCTGAACACCATGGTACCTTTTTCTTCTCGATGAAGTTTTTTAACGGCCATTATCAAACAAGCATCACAATTACTCTGCAGGCGTGAACTGACATTTGGCACACACTTGCCCCTGTGGAGACTACAACGAGGGTCCTAGCAATTGCGGCAACATCTCGCCTGGCTCCAATACTGGCAACATTCTCCAAGTAGTTGCGTCATCAGAGCCCACAGTTGAATGAGGTGTTGTCAAGCAGTCAAGCTTAGCAGACCCCAATTATCGTTGTATCAGGTCTCCACAGGAAGTAGTGCACGTCTGCTAGAGAAATCTTTTTCGTCAAGAAGCATGCTCTCACAGGTAATATCTGGGTTGTTGAGTGCATGCCGTAGCCTTAGGTGGTAGCATGTATAGCCTTCTGGACATGACTTGCAGCCGTAGCAAGCTGCAGAGTCAACTCATTGTACCGTGGGCCCGGTCTCACCGGCAGACTTTGCCCGATGGCTCTATGTGGCTCAGGGCGTTAATAAACCGTAAGTTACCATCAATTCTGCTGCATCTTGAATACTTGATGGAAACAATCAGTTTGGGCGGAAGCCCAACAAAATTTTGATTCAGGCCTTTAGTAATACCAAAGGCTTCCGAATGGAGTGCATTCCGTGAAATGATATGATTCATCCAATGGCAGGATGGAAAATATATTGATATTGCACCCGTAAAGGCTTAATTAAAATTTTTATTATTCATGGATAATTAGCGGTAATTCTATCCCCTATTTTTTCGCGGGAGGTCTCACTCACGCCCGCATAAATTGCCGCAAATTACGGACTACTCGGTAATGGTATGACAAGACTGAATGGTAATGGTAAAGTTGCACGTTCTTCACATACTAACATAGCTCAGTCTCCTTAAGTACTAACACACTGCGCGCTTTTTATCAAATTTTTAAAATAATGAGTGCATACCGTGGTATGTCGCACTAAATGTTATAATCAAAATCTCTTTAAGTGCTTACTAAATTGTTTTTTATATATTAGTTGGAATCATCGCGAAACAATACCGTATTATGTTTCACTCTTCAACTATATAGACTGAGATAGCCTTAAGTACTTTTCTTTTTGTCTCCCGCAAATTCCATGCAAATATCGTGAGACCTCCCGCGAAAAAATAGGGGATAAAATTACCGCTAATTATCCATGAATAATAAAAATTTTAATTAAGCCTTTACGGGTGCAATATTGTTTTTCGTCACGAAATAACCGTGCCCACCCATCCACCCTTTGCAAAATTCAATTTTTTTTTGAACTAGATCGGAAACGCTGAACCCGTGTGTGGTAATGGTCTTCACTCCCACATCCATTACCGACCCGCGCAGATCCCCGCTAAACTTTTTAGAAATCTTCAATCTAGTTCTTGAGAAATTCGGGGAGACCCTTCCCAAGTGGGGAGCACGGGGAGGGCATTTTTTCAAATTTATATAATCATTCACCCCCTTCCAAAATATTTTTTATAAATATGCCCTCCCCGCCCTCCCCGCTCCCCACTTCTCCCTCCCCACTTCTACAAAAATAATTAGAAATAATACATTAAATACTTACACCTTTGTCTTTTTCCTGTCTTTTACCTAATGCGTCGACGATTAATCATCAAATTTGTAGATTTCTTTGAACGCTTTATAATTGGCGCTTCCTCTACGAGGCACTTTGTATTTAGCTCCAGGATAGTACATTTGTTGCCTCAATTTAGTGTGCCATAAAGCGAAGCATTTACGAATGTAGGGAGCCTTAAAAAACATTGTCTTCAGTACAACAACGGTATTAAAATTCTCAATCTCTAGAGCGCTACTCGTTGTCCAAGTCCTATTGTCCCACCATCCAACATGTTGATCGATTTTTTGCAAAAGTCGTATGGCTGTTTTTATTTGTTCAAATGATACTTTTCCGTAGCTTAGGTGCTCATATATGTCCCACAAATCCTTTAATGTGAGATCTTTAATGTCCTTCTCTAGTGCATATGCAACTGGGTCAGCCTTCCGTTCATTTTCCAGCTTCATTCTCACAATCTTTTCGTACAGATCGAATGGAAGGGCTCGCTCGACCTGCTTCAATGTCAAACTCATTTACATAATCAGATATAAAAAACAGCAAATTTGAACGAAAATGAAAACTACTTAAAGGCAAGACTGGTTACACAGTCAGAGTGGTACGCCAAAAAAAATTTGAATTTTCCAGGACTCCCCGAATATTCAAGCAACCCAAGCAATATCAGCAAAAATAATGGATATCAAGACCGTCTATAACGCCCTGCCGCGCGACCTTTTTGAGGATATCTTGGCAAGATTCAAGCGGCGTCAGGCACACAAGCGCGATTGTCTTTTGGTCTACATGGACTACTCTAAGGATGAGTCCGATTGGTACCGCTTTGTTCAAACGAACAAGGAACTAGATGGGGAAGAGTACGAACTTGCAAAAATTGAGAGAAAGCTCGGTTATAGCATGGACAGCGTCCTTGAGGACATGAGGTATACATTCAGACGGACTCCTTATGTTGAATCAGATGATGATTCTGACTCTGATGCGGAGTCTGTTGCTGCCTCGGAAGACGACTATCAATCGGACTACGATTACCTAAACTTTCAAGCCAACAATGACGAGTATGTAGAGGACTCGGATGATGAATTTTGATTTTTTCTTTCTTACCATTCTATAATGGGACCTACCGATATTCACTTCTCGCGCTCTCCTATAAGCGGGAAAAAGCTCAAAGTTGAGTTTACCTACCAAGGAAAGCAGAGGGTCATTCA